TTTGACTAAAAGTGCACAATGGTCTGATACATCACGCGACAAAACATGAACCATCGGATTCCCCCACACATCACCCTAATCTTCTGAAACCAATACTCTATCTAATATACTCATCATGCTTTCATCCCCCCTCATCCAAGTAAATCGGCATCCAACCAAGGGAAGATCCACCAGCTGCATATCAACAATTAATTGATTAAATTCCATCATATCTTGTGAATCCCCTCCACCAACACCACCTCTTCTCTCATTGCTATTCCTAATCACATTGAAAACCCTGATCACACACCACAAATTGCTACCAAATCCCATTTTAGACATAATCAAATTATTCCATAGCATTTTCTTGTCTATCAAATGACATGGCAAATAAACATTTACAACTTTTACTATTTCCATCTTCTCCCCCCATTCAAAATAGACACCAACAAATCCATAACCATAGAAATGATATCTTAATTTACCTCTCATAGCATTCCAAACAGTGAGTATGCCACCATTATTCCCTATTGTTGGCCAAGCTATCCAATCGAAGTCTTCATCATTCCATAACTAACGATAGATATCTCTTGTACAACATTCCAATTTAGTCTCTTGTAAAAAAAAAGAATTTCAATCCCCTATTGTCGTACCAATTATGCAACCCGTTTCTTCTTCACCCTTCCCCCAACCCCACGCATATTAAACGTTGCAAGCTTCATGAGGAAACATTCACACCCCTATCCACCGTAACCACATTCCTATCTCTAACCTCTTACTCAATTAGCTTTTCAATGACTTTCTCCCTATTACCATTTACAACAACATCGACTTCTTCCCCAATATCCAAAATCTTCTCTGCCATACCTCTTACCTCATTGCGTAATCCACCAATGATAGAGGATATTGATTTATCATTGCCCCCACTGGATCCAATTCGACGTTGTTTAACAAAGCTATGTTGGGAAGGTCAAGAAATTTCCAAAATTTTGTGCCACGCATGAATCGCATTGCTTTGCTCTTGCAAATTTCCTTTTGAATTCAAGCTTCTATGTGAACCAGATGAAATCACTTCCTTCCTCTATCTTGCCACTCTTAACATACCCCACACATTCAATTGTCTACTTTTCAGAGTAAGTTTTCACCTTTTGGTTTGAAGATTTTCTTTGGGTGCTTTTTGACAAAAACTTCATCGCTACCTGACTGCCATAACCTTTGAAATCTAAACTAGACACAATTGAAGTAGATCCCTCTACTAGATCAACACAAACCCCGGATTTACTAGCAGAACCCCCCTCTTCGTCATTTAATATTTTGGGCCCCAAAGAATGCACACAATTCTCCAAATTGGGCCTCGTTGGGTCAAAGCCCATTTGCCCACACACCCTCTTCCTATTGACGTTCACAACCCAACTCTTGACTTTCAACTGTCATAGTCAATATCCCTGGGACCACCACCTTCGCGCACACATCCCGTTCCTCCATCCCACCCTCATAAAGTTGCGTATCCAAATTCAAATTTGAATGTGATATAGTCACCCCCACATCATTTTTCGCAATCCTCTCCAAACCATCACCCACAAAATCCTCTTGTGCATTAACAACAACATCCCATAACTTCGACATTTGCAGTAATGACTGGTTAGTAATCTCCACATTTTTCTCACCTATCACCATCCCATCATTAGCACTAGCCATACTTGTTGTCGTTACCTCATGGTTGTTAACCCCATCATCGATACTATAATCTTCCATCGCATCCAAGTCCATAGAATCATCCTTCATAGAGCGTGACAAATCACTTTGAGTATCAAACCACACATCTTGGAGAATTTCACTACCATGCTCCTCAACAATCCTAATATAAAAAACAAGGTTATTGACTTTCACCTTCGAGTTTTGATTAATGATCACCTTCATGGTAGTGTATAAGCAAACCCTAGAAAAATCCATTCGGTTCCTCAAAGTGGTATCCTCATCAAATGACACAAATGATCCCAACAGATTTACTAGTCAAAGGAAAAGCTTTCATCCAGCATGTAATGGTGTGCCATAAACACGCACCCATGTACCCGTCGTCACTGCCACCATTCTTGGATGCCACCAAGATATGCCATAAAACAAAGGTTCTAATGCCTTTTTATTCTTCTCGATAATCTCTGACCATTCCTCCAACACATCCCCCTCCCCCTTAGCCTCCAACAACACCATATCATCACCCATATAGACAACGTGTATGTCAATGATACCTACATTCAACAACACTTATGGAACAATCTCAACATCTTCAAATCGATGCAAATGACCCATCATGGCCCTCTTACTCCACCGTTCCACTTTTGCATTCTCTATCGAGAAATATAGGTGGTGCCATTGCTCCTTCTTCGAAACCCAGACTTTCTTCAAGACCGTAGTCTGCACCGGAATGGATGGTTGCCCCACCTCCTTCACTACCTTACCCAAAGACTCTTTCTGCACCCCCTCCAACAAAACCCCAGAAGCTACTACCTTGCCTTTACCCTTGAGTGCCTCCACATACGAACCAAAAACCTAGTGACGATGAATTTCTCCTAGGCACCTCAACCTAACATTCAACACCACAACCCACTCCTCTTCGTTCTTCTTCCTTGTGCCTATGACGTGATATATTGGCCACTAACTGCATCCTTCCAATGGTAATGCAATTCAGTCGGTGAACCAACCTTTCCTCGTCTTGCACACCACTAAAACACACAACACCAAACCTCCTTCCAACCTTATCTCGCTTACGAGGTATAAAAATGTCAACAACCTTCCCATACCGACGAAATATGTCCCACAACACCGCCACGCCATGCCTGTCCGAAAAATTCATGAAAAAGAAAGAAGGATAGGCTTGCACCCGTTTCACAAGCCTTGTAAAACTCCTAGCCACTGTGTTATGTTTTCGCCTTACCCCTGTCCAACCATCATTTGCCTCCTATCGCCACCCCATATTTGAATTTTGATTATAATTTCATAATCATGTTTGTTGTATATTTAAGATCAATTTTTTAATTTATGTAAATATAAAAAAATCAGTCTTTAAGAATTATTGAGAATATAATTGATAATATATATATATATATATATA